CTGTCGCCTTTGTAGACTTGGCCACGGGGACATCAGGGAGTTCCAAATTTGTGGCTTTCCTTCATAGTAAAGCATGAGTTAAGGTCCTCTTGCTTATGGAAGTGGGAGATGTAAGAGGGTTGAAGACTGAGAAATCTAATTGTTCAGGAGGGAAGAGAGGAATACAGCATAATGACAGTGCAGTGCCAGGGTCCCCTGAAGGGTACTGATCCTGAACTTACAATGGCATTCCTCTTGGCAATTTTGCTCCAGTAATTCTTGCGTTTAGATGTAGGTTCAGGGAAGGTGAACAGTGGAGGTTACTTAGAGTTCTGGGGTTGTCAGGAGAATGTGATAGAGGTTAGAGAGGGCAAGAGGCTGAGGATAGCTGCAAGAGAAGGATGTTTGTGGTGGACCATGGTGTCTAAAGGGGACAAAGAGGAAAATGATGACAGGAGGGGAAAGGTGACAAAGAGGAAATGGTGGAGAACAGTGCATTAGAGGCCTGTTGAACCCGAGACCCTTTTTTTCCATAAGGCATTTAAGCAAGTGAGCCATAGGTATAATCAGAGAGTAAGATTATCAATTCATGGTTTTGGAGACAGAGTTCTAGTGAATTTAAAATCCATGTGTGAGGAAGGAAATTCTGATACATTCATGGAACTTGAGGACATTACGCTGAGTGAAATAAACTAGACAGAGAAGAACAAATGCTGAATGATTCCACTTACGTGAGGTACTTAGCATAGTCACATTCACAAAGACAGAAAGTAGATTGTGGTTTGCCAGGGGCTGGGGGAGGGATGGGAAGTTATTTAATGGGAACATACATTCAGTTTTTCTAGATGAAAGAGTTCTGGAGGTGGGTGGTGATGGTGGATGTGAATGTGCTCCATGCCACTTACAAATGGTTAATGGTAAGTTTTATATGTGTATTTTACTACATATATATATATATATATATATATATATATATATATATATATATATATATATATATATATATTAGGTGTGACTCCAGAGTGGGAGGTTGAGGAGAAGGACCTCAGCTATGATATGAGGTGGTGAAGGGAAATTCAGAGGAGAAGGTTCTGAGAGCTGGGGTAGAGAGGAAGAGGCTGCGACCCAGGGGCTTCAGTCTTCCACAAGCAAGGGCATGGTTGGAGCCTGGCAGAGACAGTCCAGAGGAGAGGAGGAGGTGGCAATGTCGACTGGGATGAGCATCGGGGGAGCAGATCTGACAATATGGCTGGGTGTTTTAGAGGGATGAAGAGCCTCCAGCTCCACCTTGGCTCTGAGATACACTCATGGTAGAGAAGGAAGAGAGCCGGTTGAGAGGCATTAGGGGAAGCATGGTGTTGGGGGAAAGCCACATTCCTGGTAAGGTAGGGAGGCAGAGAGAACTGTCTAGAGAAGACAGACTATCAGATATCCCAGGGCACACAAGAAGGAAAGGGATGGTGGCAGTGGTTGCTGAGTGACTGTTTCAACAGGGAACTTGAGTTTAGGAGACACGCAGGACATCAGCTCCAGCCTCCTGCTGCTGAGGTGTGGGTAGGATTTGAAGCGTGAGGAGGTACGATGCAGTTCTTGGAAGCAGGGTGTGTGATGGCGATGCCTCTCCCATTCAGCTCAGAGATGAACTGAGACACAACACAGTTCCCAGAGAGCCAAACCAGGAACCTACTTACTGTTAGGTCAAGGCAGGGGGGAAGCCCATGATGCAAGCATCTGCAAGGTGGATGGTGACAAAGATAGCTGGCTAGCTGGAGCCTTCCTAGGGCCTTCTTAGACCCCTGGCCTGAGGCAGGAATTCTATACCTCTCATGCCCGCTGCCTTCCCCTCACTAAACAACTGAAGTATAATACCTATACCACCTTTTGGTGGGAACTTCTCTGGCCCACCCTCGGACCAGTGAGCTTAGCCTTTTTTTAATGGCCTGGACTCTGTGTCTTGCTTCTGCGTCGCAAACCTCTCAGCTGGAACCTTACACTTACCAACCCTGCCTTGCTCATTTCATGGACAAGGAAAGTGAAGTTAAGAGAGGACAAATGATTTTCTCAAACCAACCTGGGATTTCCTGTTTTCCTCCTGGCTGAGGAATGTCAATAGCTCAAGGGTCCCAATGGGGTACTAAAGAATGTTGAGCACCATGAATTGCCCTACAGGGTTAGTGGTAATGGAGGTGTTGCAGGGAAACAACTCATGGAAGGGGAAAGGGTGGGAATGAGGGGAAATGAGTGAGAGGCCACAAGAAACCCATGCCAGACCCATATTTTCTGATTGGCACTTGAAACTGTGGGAACTGGCCAAACAGGCACCCACCTTCCCTCTGCCTCCCTAGAAACAGCAAAGGCTCTGTTCCTTTCCCAGCATCAGGTCACTCTGGCAGAGAAGCAACCTTGTCCTGTTAATAACTGAGAAAGCCCAAGGCTGACCAGCAGAAGCCAGCTCCTTCCCTCATGGTTGAAGATTTAAAAACCATGAAAGGAAACAAGAATTTTTTTTTTTTTGGGGGGGGGAGGATCTTCAGCATTGAAATTTTTTGGGGGGTGGGGGGATCTTCAGCAGTGGAGGAGGGTAGTTATGACAGGGTACTTGGGAAATTTTATGCCTATTGCTGGGCCATATCTGAGATAGATCGTTATAATCGTCTATGCTCTCCAGCTATAAGCAGATGCTGGATTTCTTGCATTTGTGAAGCAACCTTGACCTGTTAATAACTGAGAAAGCCCAAGGCTGACTCCTTTCCTCATGGCTCCTTCCCCTGGTCACTGAGAAGAAACATCTTTTGGTTTATCTGATTAATCCAGATCCTGCAGAACTGACCCCATGGGTGAAGAGCCATGAGGAATGTGGCATTTGGGAGACACTCCGAGCCCTGATCTCAGGGGTGAGCTGGACCAGGGCCCCCTCCCCCATTCTCTCTTTATTCCATTTGTTTCCTAAATCCTTATGAGTTTATCTGAAGAAGTCTGGGGGAAGCTGCAGAGTCTTTTCAGAAATCAGAGTTGGGAGCAGGTACCCTGGGTTCACTGGTGCTCATCTGGCAAATACTAGGTACGCTGTGTACCCCCACATCCAGTGGCTATGCCTTTGTTCTAAGGGGCTAGATACTTCCTATCTCATCCCCTGGCATTGTGTTATGAGCTGAATTGTTTCTGTCCCCACCCCAATTCATAAGTTAAAGTCCTAACCCCCAGTAGCTCTGAATGTGACTGTATTTGGAGACATGGTTTTTAAAGAGGTCATTTAAGAAAAATGAGGTCATTCAGGTGGGCCCTCATCCGATAAAACTGGTACCCTTATAAGGAGGGAGAATAGGACCCATGTACAGAGGGAAGCTGTGTGAGGTTGCAGGGAGGAGAGGCCTTTCCAAGCCCAGGAGAGAAGATTCAGGAAAAACTAACCCTGACAACACCTTCATCCTGGACTTCCAGCCTCCATAATTGTGAGAAAATAGATTTCTGTTGTTCAAACTGAAATGTTGAAGCCATTTAAAAATAGAATTAGGGAATCCTTGCATATCTTACTCGTCCAACGTTTGGAATGTTTGAACTTGGAAAAGTATTCTCTGGACTGGGCCAGACCAACATTGTGTAGTTAAAGAACGTAAAGTTAAAGAATAACAGCTTAAAAGCAACTTCAGAAATTTTTCCTTTATCCATGTGATTATCCCCCTTCCTTTTCCTCAGAAAGACCTCTTGCCTTTACTCTCTAATCAAAAGACTATTTGGGTTTGAAGGTATTCAGTACAGGTGTCCCCACATGTGCCACTTTGGCATTTAAATTATTTTGAGCTGAAGGCAATCAAGTCCCTGCAGACTCAGGAAAAACGCTTACCTCTCCCTTACATGATTTAAATTTGGGTCCTTGCCCAGAATAAGTTACCATCAGAAGTAACTTTTTATGACCTACCTAGATAGTAGGCTGGGGCGAGGCTCTAATTACTGAACATAGGCTCTTCTTATTGTTCTCCAGTGACTTTCCTCCTCTCTGAAGCCCCAAGGCGCCTTACCTCATCCTGAGCTCCGAATGCCAAATATATAATTTTCCCTTTCTGTCTCTGAAACTGTCACGTATGTGGGGTGTCTGGTTCTCCCAGGTCTGCAGTGTTCCCATACGTATGTATGGAATTAAATTTGGTTATTTTCTCTTGTTAATCTGTCTCATGTTTGTTTGAATATTAGGCCAGCTGGAAGAACCTAGAAGGGCAGAGGAAAATTTCTTCCTCCCCCACAGGTTTCTGCCTGAATCAGTGTTTTCCAAATAGCTATTCTTTTTTTTTTCTCTCAGATAAACACATGTTGCTTCTCAATTTGGTCTTTAATTTCCAGGTTAACAAAACCAGCCAATCCATGTATTTTGTTATGGCAGCCCAAGCAAACTCATACAGCGTTTCTGGGAACGCCTTATTAAGTGGGCAAAAGGGCTATTTTTTTGGCATACACCCCTCTCCAGGACCAAAGGGCAGGATGTTTGTCTGAATGGAGCTCCTCCCTGACCCTCCCAATCCACACTAAATACCCACCCGAACTGAAATGTGCAAAAAGTTGTGTGGGAAAGGTCGCTGTCAGATGCAGAAGCGTGTACTTGTTCCTGGTTGCCTGTGAGAGGAGAATGGACAAATGTGGCTGCCTTAAGGCTGAAGTCAGTGCATTTTGGATTTCTTTAATAAAAATAAAAAACAAACAATGTAGCCTGCAAAACCATGTAAAGCAACACAGGCTTCTTACAACAGAGCTCAGGAATGTGTAGTCCTTCCCAGAGCAGCCACAGACACACATGGTCTTCGCCTTAGCCTATGGGAACAAATAATTGACAGAAGAATTGAAATTTTGGAGCAGCCCCAAGGAGGGGCCTGTGCGTGTGGGAAGGCATCCTGAGCGGCTGTCCTGAGTATGAGTAATCTAACTGCCGTGGCGTCACCACAGCTGGCCGCTGTCCAAGCTCTGAGCGGAGTAATGACTAACCAGCTTCCACTGGGAGGGAGGAAACAGTTAAAATCTTGCAGCAGCTGCAATCACCTGGGCGTGGCTCTCTTGTCTGACTTTGGCTTCAAGGATCCTGGGCCTAGAAGCAGAAGCAGGAAAGCTCGGGCCAGCCGGCTGCTGTGCATTCCGGATGGCCGAGTTGGACCTGATGGCCCCAGGGCCACTGCCCGGGATCGCAGCTCACTCCCTGGTCACTCTCAGCCCAGACTCTGGGTCAGCCAGCCCAGCAGAAGAGGATAAGGAGAGCCCCCAGGGGGAGGTGGAGAGGCCGGGCGCTGGCTCCCAGGATAGTGGCGGTGGTGAGGAGGAGATCCTCTGTGACTTCTGCCTGGGGACCCAGAGGGTGAGGGCGGTGAAGTCCTGCCTGACTTGCATGCTGAACTACTGTGAGGAGCACCTGAGGCCACACCAGGAGAACAGCAAGCTGCACAGCCACCAGCTGACCGAGCCAGTGAAGGACCAGGACCTGCCCACCTGCCCTGCCCACCACAGCCCGTTGATCGCCTTCTGCAGCCCGGATCGGCAGTGCATCTGCCAGGAGTGTGGCCAGGACCAGCACAAGGGCCATGCCTCAGTCTCCCTGGATGTTGCCCGCAGGGACAAGGAGGCAAGTGCCAGGGCCCCTTGGGAGAGGGAGGTGGGGAGACTCTGTGCCCCGGGAGGGGCTGAGCCACACTGCTCCTCCCAGGGTGCTCACTTCACTTCTGAGCTCTGTGTTTACCTGAGAAGGACTTGACCCCAGTAGCCGGCTGTGCCCAGTGTCAATATCTGTTTCATTTGGCTTTGGAAATTGAAGTAGGTCACTCTGTCCCCATGGAAGTCCTGCTGCCTCTGTCCTGTCTCTGCTTGTATCTCCCTCCTCGTGCTGGCTTGTTTCCTGCTGTTTTTCACGCAGCTTCCGTCCTTGTTCCATGTTTGGATGTGGGGTGCAGAAGCTGTGGGGTTCAAGGCAGTGCTGGTCCCCTCTGCCTAGGTCTCTGTGGCAGTGAATGAAATGCAAAGCTCGGCACAAATTCCAGAAAAGGAATCAAGCCTTTCCCCTAATTTCTCTTCTTCCCTCTCCCACAAAGAGGAGACCCGTAGGACGTGCCCCATTAGAGGTTCCAGGGTGAAATTTAAGAGCTTGAAAAGGGCTAAGATAACAAAGAATTGGAAACTTACCTCCAGGCACAAAGTCAAGGACACCTGACTCAGGGAAAATGCAAGTTCCTTATCAGATAGAGGAATCAGGAGCACCGAAAACCCTGTGCTCATAACCTGTAATTTTATTCCCATCAGATAGGGAAACTGTTTCTAGAACAGCTAGCCCTAAAGCTGAGAGCCTGGAGTTCTTGGGAATGGATTTAGCAACTTCGTCTACTTTGTTTCTCTGCCTTGAACTTCCCGGCGAGGAAGTGCAGTTGCTTTTGTCCCTCATCCCTGGTATTCTCACTGCTGGCTATTTCTGCGATGCTCACTGCTCACAGGGCAGGCCCATGGTTGTCAGTGGACAGCAGAGGCAGCAGGCTTCTGGGAAGGGTAGTTTACTTGCCAGCCCCTCCCCTCCCCCAACCCCGCCTTTAAGCTTAGATTCCATTAGTGTTAGTGGGAACTGTTTTGGAAATCACTGTAGTCCCGAAGCCAGTGAGTCTCCATTTCCAAACCTGGGAGCCACTCGCCAATAGTTCTTAGAGTTTCCAGTCTCAGGGAATGTCACCCATTTCTCTACTTTTATAACCATGGACAGGCTCCCATGAACAGATAGAGGGTCAAAGGGAAAAGCTCATATAACTGAGGAAATTAGTCTCCACTGAGCACTGCTATGTATGTACTGCTCTCCGTGGATTTTCCCATCCAGTCCTCAAATAACTCTGGGAGGTAGCAATCTTTTGTCTCCACATTAGTCTAAACTTGCACAGATGACTAAGTCATGGGGAGAGGAGTGAGAGCTCCTGGGAGCCATCCCACTGGAGGAACCCCAGGGAAGAACCCCAAGATCACAATATGGTAACCTGACTTTTTTTTTGTACTAACAAGCCTACCACACATATAGTAGAATTATTAAGACAAAGTACACTGCTTTTTCCTTGGGGTATGATAGATCCTCTCACTTTCCCCAACTGATGGACAGAGAATGACGTAAACTCCACCTGCAGTCCGACCATTGACCTGGGAAAAAGAGTGCTTAGTCAGGGAGGGACAAGTTCAGGGTTGTAAGGAGCTGGCAGGAGTGAGACTTGTGGAGAGGAATGATCCGCTGAGCTGGGTCGAAAGAGTCAGAAGACAGAGAAAGGGGTTTGAGAGGGCAGAGAGGACTTTACGAGGAGGATCTGATGGTGGAACATGAGGAGTAAAGCGAGGGGTGAGAACGGGAGGGTGGGAGGGGGGTTAGGGGATGGGGAAGCCTGTTTGTAGGGATCTGGAATGCTTTCCAATCTGGTGGCAAAAATTATCTAGGTCTTGGAGGATATTGGAATCACAAGTGCCATTTTCAGGCCACAGAGAGACATTGTCAAGTTTATGTTGTGCCCAGGTAGAGCTTCTTTAGTTTGATGTAGTCAGAAAGACCAAGGGTCGAGAGATTGGCGAGAAGACACCCTAAAGGTGAGATGAAAAATGAGACTGAGGGCCGAAGACCAGGACACAGGCTTTATTAGAGGAGAAGACCCTTGCCAGGCTACCTTCCAAAGGAAGAGAGAGCACATGTGCAGGGATGAAGGCGCCTTTTGAGGAGAGGAAAGGGAAGGGATGGGGCTTAGGGCACTCGACACACACTGATTGGTGGTTTCATATAAGGCACATAATTAGGGACTTGGGAATCGGGGGCTTAGGGGATTTTGCAGGTGCTGATTGGTGGTTCAATGTATAGTCCATATAAGGTGCCTAGTTAGGTGCTCAAGAATGTTCAGGCTGCAGGTGGAATTTACCTCATTCTCCGTCCATCAGTTGGGGGAAGGGAAGATCTATCAGGGTATAATGTCTTGATTTCTTACACTTTACTGGAAAAGTGATGTGTGCACATGTTGAAAAGCAATCTCCACCAAATATTGCAATAGATTATCCTGCATCTCCATCTCCCTCCCTGGAGGCAAATGCCACCATCTACACTTTCTTCTGTTTTCTTTTTTAAATTTAATTTTAAAAAGATTTTAATCCTTACCTGAGGATATCTTTTTTTTTTTTTCTTCTTTTCTTTTAGGAGAGAGTGGAAGTGAAGGAAGGAAATGGAGAGAGGGCGAGATAGAAAGAGAGAGAGAGAGAGAAAGAGGATGAGAAAGAGAACTCAAACATCATTGTGAGATACATCCCTTGGTTGCTACTGGCTGACTCCTTCACACACCCCATTGGAGACTTGAGCAAACCGACAACCCGGGTGTGTGCCCTTGACTGGACCTTCAGTGTGAGGACCAATATGCTAACCACTGAGCACACCACTGAGCATGGCCAGGGCCCTTCTATTTTCCTGAAGGAATGTTCTATGCCTATAGCAGCATAGACACAGAATGAATTTTAAACGTAGTGTATACTGATGCATAAGAGATTTAGGGTAACTGCAATTCTGAGCAAAAAGTGTAGAGCATGTGTGGACCCCCAAATTCAGAGACCCTAAGGGGACTGGTAGGATAAAGTGAAGACAGCAGGGTAGGAGTTCTAGGGAAGGCTTTAGTGCTTAAAAGCAATAATGGTTATGAATACAGTGCGACAGCCCCAGACCCCAGATTTTTGCTGATGACCCCAATTCACAGGCTCTGCTTTCTGGTCTGCCTAAGAGAATTCTTGTCCTGCCCACCTGCATCCTTATTTTCAGCTCAAATAGTCAGTTTACTCTGTCAATGGCAGCATACTCTAGATGGCTTTATACCAAATCTTAGGAGCCAAAAGGTTGTCTGCAAGGAGCAACTGCCACCAGGATTATTTTGAAAGTTTTATTAGATAACATTACATTCCCTTCAGCTGGCCCAAACCTGCTGGCATCACTTGCTGAAAGTCACTTTGAATCGTGTTAAGGGCTAATTACTCAAGCAAGCATGTTGTGCATAGAAAACTGTAAATAGCATGGTCAGCCATCAGGACACAAAGTAGCCGAAATCTGCATCAGCCCAGGGCAACTTATGCCTCAGTTAACCAGAGGATCCCTTTCTGAAGCTCCCACAGCCTTTAGCTATGCTAGGGAACAAACACGAGTTTGGGAGTTCTGGCTGTTCTTGATTATTTTTTCTATTTTGCAAATAATCGAGAACAGCCAGAACTGCTCTGAATGGGACCTCAGAGCTTTCCTTTGCTCCAAACCAGCTTCCCAAGACCCCTTCGCTCCTAAGAGCCTCTGGTCTTACCTCCTCTCGCTCCTCCAAATCTCAGGCTGGCTACTGTGGGGTTGTGCTACGTGCATGCATGGTCAAGTGTGCATTCTCTGACTGCTGTCCTGTTTGTTCTGCCCCATGAAATGCACTAGGTTCTTTCCTGTTTTTCCTCAAGTTTATCACTTACTATGGAATGTTTCCTATGGGCTGTGTCCTCACGGCTGGCCATGCTATTTGCCCTGTCTGTCCTTAGGGACAGGAAGCCAAGGCACATTCTGTGGCTCCCTGGAATGCCAGAGGGCTGGGCAACACAGCTGCCACGTGATCAGAGAGGGTGTGGTCGTGGTGCTGAGGTCAGGGCAGGCAGGGTTCTTGAGGGAGGAAAGACTGATCTGGGCCCTGACTCAGATCTTGAATTCCATTAGTGACAGGCCACTGTACTGCACATGAGCACTGGTTCTGGGAGCTCAGGACTGTGTGCTGCCCGCAGACACTGTCTCCGTGTGGGACAGGAGCCCAGCTTCTGAGAGCTCAGAGCTCGATATCAGTGCATCTCTGGGAATCAGTGAACCAGCGTCACTCACAGCCTGTTTGCTGGCCTCCGAGAAACAGTGATTGAAGGTCTCTCAGGAAAAGAATTTCTTCTAGAAACTGAGGAATGCCTCGGACTTAGTCTTATGTAACTTGTTTTTCATAAACGTTCCACAGGCTATGTGTCTTTCAAGAGCAGGGAGGATGTCTTATTTCACTGGACTGGCACGTGGCCGGTTGTGACCAATAACTGAGGAGTGAAGTCAGGTGGGAACCAAATGCAAACACTCCTGAAGGACCAGCATCTTGTGGTGGGAAGTGCAAAGGAATGACCACCATCCGGAATGTTCTGCTCTTTTTTTCATGCTCTTCCTATTTGCATCTCTAACCTGGTTCCAGCTTGGGGGGGGGGGGGGGGGGGGGGGGGCTTTGCCCTGTAGATAGAAACGAGGACAAATCTGTGACGTAGTCCTGTGGCCCTGCACCAGACGGGACGCTAAATGACTTGATGAAGATAGTGCAGGCAGCAGTCAAGTCTCCAGACCCCAGATACGGTGCCTTTTGCACATTTGTCATTGCCCCCTGAAGTAGGCAGGATGCTATGTCATTCAACATGGGGCTGTCTCTGCGATTGACACTGCTGTCCTGTTGAGCACCCTGGCCTATGCTATGTATGGCAGGCACCATAGGAAACCCTGAGACAGAGTCTGAGCCACACCATCATTTCTGAGGAGGAGGAACAACTGGAGATACTGGTTTCTCAAAGTGACCCCACCTTTTGTGGTAAACAGGAGTGACTTCCCATGGGGTGACTCACTCAGAGAAGTCACTCTTAGGCTCACAGGAGCCTTTTTCTCCTTTTATGGTGGTTTGCAGAAGTGAGAGAAGCGCCTCCCTGGAGACTCTGGGGTCTCCCTGTGACTCTGGCTCACGCTGGGGCTCCCTGCTTCACCACATTCTCACATTGCCAGGGTGCTCTGTTGTGTCGGTGTCCACTTTTAAACAGCGGCTCATGTTCCCTCCCCTCCTCTGGAAAAGGTCGCTGTGTAAACCTTTTAGACCAGCAATCACCAACTGGTGGCCTGCAGACTACTGGTGGTCCACAAGGTTCAAAAGGCTGGTGACTGCTGTTTTAGACAGATCAAGATTCCACAATTGCCCCCCAAATAGGGCAGACCCCCTCCCCCATCCTCACTCCTGGGCATCAGATCTCAGGTCTCAGGAGTGGGAGGGAGGTCACTGGGGTTTCCTTGGCTCAAAGTCAATGCCCCAGAGCTGAGCAAGCAGCACCTGCCTGCCAAGGCTCCCTCACTGGGAGGCCTGGGTGTCCCCAGGGTTCAGTGGGAGAAAGGAGAGACACTTTATTTGTAGCCTGAGTTCTATTAGGGCACAATGGCTCACGGCTCTGAATGCAGACAACCTATTAAAAGCAATGACAGCTAGAGCTATTCTTTTTCTTTTTTGCTGCCTCATGCCCTTGTGGAAGCAGGAAAGTGAGAGGGCCTGGAAAGTTTTCAAAGGCTTATGTTTCATGCCTTGGCACATTTTGTGGCAGAAAGTGCTCAGGGTGTCCCAGGAGATGAGAGTGAAGCTGGGCAGTGGGGTCAAAGCAGGCACACCGAGGTTCTCAGGGGGGCACTTGCCTTGCTGGCTCACTATGCCCTCCTCCAGGAGTGAACAAGAAGGCGCGGTGGAAAGCAGCTGTCGCAGCAACAATACTAAGAATATTGGTGAAGGTGACGGCATCGCTGGCATCAGTTCAGCATTTACAATGCTCTGGCTACTGTGCAAAGTTTTTATTAACACAGACTACCTCATTTATCCTCACAGGAACCCTGCAAATTAGGACTTCCCAGGTGAAGAAATGGTGGTCCAAGGTGTTAAGTAGATTTTTTCCCCAAAGTCTCAACTGTCGAGTAGAAAGCCTGGAATCCCCTCTATCAGCTCCAAGCCCATGCTCCTTGTTAGGTCATTCTGGCCTGGGTCAGATGGCCTGGTTCAACTCCATGGTTGCTTAATGTTATCATCTGTAAAATGGAGATAATGATCTTAATCTAATATGGGTGTGGTCAGAATGATATGAGGTAATCTATATAACAGCTTAAAATAATGACAAGCATGCATCATGTATATGCTCCCCATATTATAGCCAGTTCGAGCTGCATTCAGCTCGAGGATGTGCTGGCACACAGATGATCCTGGGCACCTCCATTTAGGGTGCTTTGAGCTGACTTTGATTGAGAGCAGCTTCCGAAGTCAAACTCTCCTTTCCATGGAAGTAACTTCAAAGTGTTATTGCTCCTGGGACCTTCTGTGCACGCTGGACTCCTTCCTACTTAATGCTGTCCTTTTCTTTTCTTAGGCTGAGCTTCGGAGCACCCAGCTAGACCTGGAGCGGAAACTCAAGTTGAATGAAAATGCCATTGCCAGGCTCCAAGCCAATCATAAATCCGTTTTGGTAAGGCTGGTCTGGGTCACCTGTCAGGCTTCAGTACACATCTGGATGCAGCTGCAGGCTCAGCAAGGCTCATCTGGGTTATAGACCATGGGGCTTCAGGTCCAGGGGCTCTTTGGGGTCTCTCAGCTAATTTTCTATGAAATTAGTTTAAGGCTCAAAATTGGCAAGTGAGTTACTTTTTCATAATATAGAGTAAAAGCAAGACTAGCATTATTTTTACATTTGCATATTCTTTCTTGAGCAGGGGAAAAGTGTGTGGGGACAGCAGGGAGTGTTTAGATAGAGCTCCAGGAACTATACATAACTTTTGCCTTTCCACCTGCATGTGTGTCACTATGTCCTGGCAGCCAGAAAAGAGCGTTGGAAACTGCTGGATTAGTGGATGGTGGTTGTTAAGGTCAATGGTGTGCAGGCTACTTAGTGTTAGTCTTTCTGGTTTTGTGACCACTTTCCATATAAACTGTATGTAGACCCAAACAGTCCCATAAATTTTTCTCATTAGTGGCAAACCAATAACCACTACTCAGAAGAGAACTCAATATACCTACCCATCCATCCATCCATCCATCCATCAATCCAGTCATCCATCCAGTCATCCATCCACTTATCCATCCACTCATCCACCCACTCATCCACCCACTTACCCATCCACTCATCCATCCATCCATCCATCCATCCATCCACCCACTCATCCACTCACTCTTCCATCCACTCATTCATCCATCCCTTCCTCCATCCACCCACCATATATAATGCATGTATTCATTTCAAGTTAATTTCCTCCTAAATGTTTACAACTAACTAGCTCCTTTAGGGTAAACACTTCTTTCTTACCCACATAATCATATGAAAAAACAAACAATTGCCCATTTGAAGCCTTGTAAACCTCCAGAGATTGTTGATTCCCAGGCTCTCCATAATAGGAGAACCACACAGTGCACCTTGCCTTTTCCCAGTTCTTTCATTTTCAGACACTTACATCCCTACCCAGCTCTTTTCATAATTGCATGGTAACTGTTGGAGGTGATTATCATCAAGTCACCATGTATAAGGGACATGAAGATAAAGATATGATAAGACTTGTCTAGGGCCTCCAGACTGATGGAACAGGTGAACCTGGAACTGTCCCTCCCTTGACCTAAGAATGACTTAGTACATGGGCACCACCCTCTTTACACCATTACCTTTGGTACTTCGATATATTTGTGGCCTCTCTTTTCCATAATCTTTATTTGTCATCATTTGGGCAGTAAATTAAATCCTTCACACATTCCATTTACATGCAAGGAAGAAGTACTTCTCCATGGGAATGTTTAGGAGTGAGAGGCTACCCATAATAGCAGAAGAGTAAATCCACCAGATCATTTGAGGCCTCCTGTTTACAACTCTTCCTCAGGAGGACCCCTCTCAGGAGGGTGGTTTGAACCATAAAGTTTGTCTTTAGTCTAATGCCTCTGAGCTTCATGAAATCATGCTTCTATGAGGAACCTACGTGCCATCATCATTATAGGGAGTAAGTGGATTCCCCTCCTTTCCCACAATATCCCAGGCCAAACCAACATTGTATTGCTAAGGCAACAGGAAAGCAAACATCTGACCAGAAGGACTGAAAATTATGGACTCTCTTCCTGAAGAAAAATTAGAAACCAGTCATGTACAGTTAAAGAGTGACCCAACTTGTTAGCACCAACAGAAATTTCTCTTTTTCCTATTCATGTAGTTATTCCCTTCTTTTCTCATAATATCCCCTTGCCCTCACCCTATAATTGAGATTCTGGGTTTATGCCAGAATTGGTGTTCTATGAGCTGCAATTCTTTTTAATTCCAAATAAATGCTTGTTGCCTCTGAGGAAAGAGTGAAAATAGGAAATACATAAAATAAAGTCACTTTCACAAGCTGCTGACATTATTGACATTATGGAGCTGAGGCATGAGGCAAGACTCTAATCTTGTCCTAACTATCCTGGGAACTTAAGCTTTTTGAACTTTCCAGTCCTGTGTCAATGCCTGGATAGCCATCTGCATACACCAGACCCCCAGGAACCCCATTTCCCTCCTGAAGGGCTCACATGCCCAGGCTGCTTGACATCAGAGTGACTTTATTATACAGACTATTGGATGTGGCCAGAGGCCCTGGCACCCATATCCTAGCTTACTTGGCATCCAGCATCCAGACCGCCTAACAGCCAATTCTAGAGCTAAGAGTGTATGGCTCATTGTTCATGAGAATACAATATTTTTACTATATTTTTAAAAATCTTAACTATAGTATAAGAGTACTGTTTAAGAAGAACTATAAGCACCAGTACTTAAGAACTACCAAAGAGAAGCAGAAGCCATTCACCACTTGGACTGACATTGTAAATGTGAGACTGATGGAAGGCATTTATATGACATTCACCTGTGAAAGAACAGAGTCCCACATGCACAGTGCTGTGTAATCGCTATCACTCTGAGTTTGCTTATCTGTTATTTGGATGTGGCACTCACTCTGCACCGAACACACCCTAAACATTCATGCCTGGCAGGATGCCGTAAACTTACTTGTGCTTTTGGTGCTGATGGCCTCAGTGGGCTGTGTAAGCAGATATAACAAAATGCTAAGGAAGCTAATTCATGCTACATATTTGTACAAAGATGCCAAATTATTAGTTAACCTCAATAAATATAACTCTAAAGTACAATGAATTCTTGGAAGAGAAATTGATTTCAGAACGTTGAATAGCAGCCCAACTGTCAGAGCTGGAAGGCGTCTGACACACAGACAAATTCACTCTCATCCAGTGGGTGAGGCCCAAGTGAATGATGTGTACACAAGAACTTTTACCTGCTAGGGAGTAAATCTTTTCAGAACCCAGGGTTCATATGAGAACAAAGCTTCCTTTTACAATAGAAACTTGTTCCTTAATCTGTTTATCAGGTTTACACTTCCATACAGTGGACACCTTGCTAACAGGTTCTTTGCTGTGCCTCCTCCCCACTCGGCAGGTGTCAGTGTCAGAGGTGAAGATGGTGGCTGAGGAGCAGTTTGGGGAGCTCCTTGCTGCCGTGAGGAAGGCCCAGGCCGACGTGATGCTGTTCCTGGAGGAGAAGGAGCAAGCCACTCTGAGCCAGGCCAATGGCATCAAGACACATCTGGAGCACAGCAGCGCAGAGATGGAGAAGAGCAGGCAGGAGCTGGGCAGGATCGCTGCCATCAGCAACACAGTGCTGTTCCTGGAGGTGCGGCTGCGTGGGGGCGGAGGTGTCCTTGGGCCACCAGGGAGTGAGCTGCCCTCTGATCAGTAGGAGCAAGGGGGACGGAGACAGGGAGGCAGGACTTGATTCAGCAGAGCACAGAACAGGAAGGGCAGAGGAGGCTTCGCAGAGCCAGAAGCTGGAACCAGTCAGGGCAGATGAGTACTGCTCAGAAAAACCTTTCAGAGGTTAGAGAAAGCATGTATACAGGTAGGGAGGCGGGGTGAGAAAGCACCCTGATTTGGGGGGTTGGGTGCTTTCCCAGAGATGGGAGAGGAGGCTGGCTGGCCAGGCCTGGCAGATGTCTGGCTGTGAGAGACCTTTGCTCTTTATCAGGGAGTCACAGAAGCTGTGAAGGACTGCAGATGAGGGAGGGATGAACTCGGAGAGTGTGCTTTATAATCACTGTGATGTGATGAGGCCTGCCTGGCAGGGTGAGGTCAGAGGCCAGTTACATGTGGGATTGAGGAAGGCCCCTCGAGGAGAGATTTTCTTTTCTTTTTTTTTCTTTTTTTTTTAGAGTTAGAAACATCAATGAGAGAGAATCATCGATCAGTTGCCTCTTGAACACCCCCTACTAGGATGTGCCCGCAACCAAGGTACATGCCCTTGACCAGAATCGAACCTGGGACCCTTCAGTCCACAGGCTGACACTCTATCCACTGAGCCAAACCGGTTTCGGCATCGAGGAGAGACTTGCACTGCAGTGCACTGTATGCAGAAATGGGCCATTAGAGCTAGACCAAGGCCCTGTACTATTGCAGAGGAGGAACACTTGGTTGGACTTCAATCTTGGATCCATTACTAAGTAGCTGTGTAGTTTTTAGCAAGTCACTTAATTTCTCTGGGTCCCAAATTCCTCATTTATCAAAGGATCAGGGCAGAGTAAATAATTAGTTCCTTCAGATCTAATATCCCTAAATACAGATAATTTTTCTCTATTGCAGTTTTGAAAAGTTTCCCTTCTAGTTATAACAAACATAAATGTTTACTGTGTGAAAGCCAGAAAAATATGAAGGAAAATATTCACCCATACTTCCCCACCTTATAATGAGTGAGAGAAAGAGAAGCAAAATCAAAAATATGGATGGAATGTCTTTGTTAGTTCCTTGCTTTCCAATATCAAAACATGAAAAATCTATGAATCAAAGTTGATTCATGTCAAGAGTTTCTCCAAAGAGAATATACACAATTTCTTTTCATTTTCCTTTTATAGCTTTAACATAAAAACTTTAATATGCACAAAATACAATACCTTAGAATAAGTTAACTTATTTACTTTGGGGAAAGATAATTTCCTTTTCCCCAAATTGCTAGCCAGCTGACATGACAGCTATTGGATAACCTATCCTTTCCCCGTTGGCTACTTTTATTGTGTATGGTTCAAAATCTCTATACAGCGTTACGATGTTCATCTACCTTTCCCTATCAACTCTCTGGTTTGGACTGTTTCATCTTTCTCACTCATCTATTTTACCGTTTTTGGTGCAACTGTTTTCATCACTAAGTTTTACACACTACCCAGTCTGTTCTTCAATGCTTCAATTACATTTGAGTTTGGATAACATGTTATGTCTGAAAACAACATTTCCTGATCATCACGTTGTCTTGAAGCATCACTGACTTAATGTGATTATCTCCGTGGAAGCACTTTTCAAACTCCAAATCACAGCACAAGAATGAGAGGAAAGCAGCCAGCATTCCTGTCTGAGGTCTTATCCATGCACATCTGAGCACCATACCGGTTCCTCCATTCCCCACTGTGGCTCCTATCTAAATCATTTTTAAAAGTTCTGAGGGTATGAGCATAGCAGGAATATCACCTCCTTTGGCTGTTGGCATTAAATGTGTTCTTGGCACCAGTCTGGGTTGTGCATAAGAGTTGCTCATGGGCATCTAGTATCTCTGGATTTTTAAAAACCCACTTTCCTAGCTTAAAAAATAGATGGTTTCTATGTTATAAGCTGCTCACATGATATACTTCCTTTGTGAAGTGCACATGGCCATCAACCCATTTTACAGCAGCAGAGAATGAGGACAGAATGAGGAGAGCAGCCAGTTAAGGAAACACAGAAACCAGGGCATTGCCTTGCTTCCCTCCCTGCAGGAGTACTGCAAGTTTAAGAACACCGAGGACAGTGCCTTCCCTAGTGTCTACATAGGCCTCAAGGACAAGCTCTCGGGCATCCGCAAGGTCATCACAGACTCCACCGTGCACCTAGTCCAGTTGCTGCACAACTATAAGGAAAAGCTCCAGGAGTTCGCAAAGGACGGTGAGAAGCTTCCTGTGGGCTGTGGTGTGTGTCTCTCAGAGTGGTTGATGGGGAAGGTGAGAGAGAGAACCAGGGGAGAAGGTGAAATCAGGGGGACATCTCATTTTCAAAACTACCCTTTGGCTAGACTGTGTTCCTAATGGGCAGGTCTTGATTTCATTTTACAATTGAGGCCAGATAAGTTGCGCTAGACACACCATTACTAGCTGACATTTCTGTTTCTCAGGTTGCTGACACCTTTACCTTTTAAGTGAAATACAGGCCAATCTGCCATCTTTTTCAGACTATTTTGCCTTATCCATGAGAGAAATGTGGTCCAGAGAGCATGGTTCTCTGGGACGTGATGAGGGTCCAGCCCCATTTCCCTCTGGGAAACCTGGGGAAGGGCGGCTGGGAAGACCTGCTTCTAAGTTCTCTGACCACCTGGACAGATGTGCATTCACAACTCTCTGCCTTTCTAGAGGAATATGACATCAGAACTCAAGTGTCAGCTGTGGTGGAGCGCAAGTATCGGACCTCAAAACCTGAGCCCAGCACCAGGCAACAGTTCCTCCAATGTAAGTGTGACAGCTCTCCTCCTGGTTATTGATGTCAGTGCGATGCTCTGCTGAAGCAAGAACGCTTTCTCTCACATAGGGTTCGGGTTCTTACAATCTGTGGTTTGTCCCTAAATGGTACATTTAGAAAATTTTAATTACAATTGTTTTTATTTTGAAACAATTTGAAACTTAAAAAAATATTGCAATAGTAGGACAAAGAGTTCCCATTTTTCTTTTTATCCAGCTTTTCCAAATGTTAACACTTTGCATAACTACAGTACATTGATCAAAACCAGGAAATAAGCATTGTTGCTACAGTGATACTAACTAATCTACAAAATGTATTTTCCGTTTCACCAACTGTTCTAACCATTGTCCTTTTTTTAAACCTAAACTCCAATCCAGGGTCACAGGTGTTTCCATGCCTCCTTAGACTCCCCCAATCTGGATCTGGTCCCGCAGTCAGTTTTTGTCTTTCATGACCTTGGCACTTTGTACAGCCTAACTATAATAGTACCACATGGCTCCCCATAAAGTTGGGCTTGGCCAGGATTGTGTAACACACTCTCCTGTCATTAAGTGGTATTGACCTGGTCTGTTAGCATATCACAACACTATGCTGCCAGTCAACACTTCATTATGGTTAACAAGCCCATGAGGTTTCATCTCCTAGTAGATCACATGTGCCAAACACAAGGCCCGCGGGCCAAATCCGTCCCGCCAGGCCTTGCAATGTGGCCCGCACCGCGCTGTCATCACTGCACTCCGCTGCGTTTCCATCACAATGACAGTTTATGACTGTTCAGTAAACCATTTGGCCCGCGATTTAGGCTGGATTTTAGATTTTGGCCCCTTCTCTGATTGAGTTCGACACCCCTATAATAGAGGAAGGACTGCATCTGCATGTTAAGGCTCGTTTTGTGAGATGGCTAATTCGTCTTTTTGGGATACAACATTGAACTCTGCTTCTTATTGTTTCTGGAGATGACTCCTGGCTGACCAACTCCTGGGCCCCTTTTTCTCCAGTTATCATATGCAGCTTCGGGTTCTGATGCCTGCCTCGTACTCCTGCCACAGCTCTGACTTTTCCCAGAATCTCTTGGCTTCCACACAGTTTCTGTGACATATTCTTGCCTTCTCTTGACAGTAGAACATCTATATTTGACAAACATATATGATTAATACAAGAAGCCAAATACACTCCATTCTTAACATTAAAACAAAATTGACACATTTCCTATTACTAGAGGCCCCGTGCATAAAATTCGTGCACAAGGAGGGGAGGGGTTCTCTCAGCCCAGCCTGGACCCTCTCCAATCCGGGACCCCTCAGAGAATGTCCAACTGCCAGTTTTGGCCTGGGATCAGGGCAAAATCAGCAGTCAGACACCCCTTTCATAATCCAGGACCTCGGACTCCTAACTGCTCACCTGCCTGCCTGCCTGATCTCCCCTAACTGCTTCTGCCTGCCAGCCTGATCACCCCTAATTGCTCCCCCCACCAGCCTGATCACCCCTTAGTGCCCCCACTGCTAGCCTGGTTTCTCCCAACTGCCCCTCTCTGCCATTCTGGTTGCCCTTCACTGCCCCCGCTGCTGGTCTGGTCACCCCACCCAGCCTGCTGGTCAGTCATTTGGTCATCCCTTGCTAACTCCTCTGCTGGCCTGGTCACCCATGCAGCCTGCTGATCAGTCATTTGGTCATCCCTCAAAAACCCCTCTGCCAGCCTTGCCCAAGCAGCCTTCTGTTCAGTTGTTACTGTGAGGGCATCATGATCAATTTGCATATTATTCTTTTATTAATATACATAATCTATTTTCTTTTGCATGACAAATAAATTTTTGTACACCTAATATTACTATTTCTCTTTGAGTGTTGCTATGAACCTTTAACCTTTGTAGACTCAGATTTTCACTTTTCAAAGTTCTGGAGCTCAAATTGCCAATTTGAACAGTTGGAGCCACTTGTACGCTGGCCTCTTCCTCTTTTAAACATTGGCATTCTGCCTCTGATATCTTTAGAAATATCATTGCTTTTAGGGATATTCCAGACCTATACTGGTTTTCTTGCCCCAAAACATAGAATCATCTGCCCTCCTGGGACTCCTTCATCCCCTTAAATGAGAGGAACATTTTTATTCGATATCTGGATGCCGAGGATTTCCCAAAAAGTTGGTGGTGGGCAAGAGCAATACTGTGGATACTGTTGGGGCCACTTTTAGTAACAGCTGTAGACTATATGCCTTTGATGGTCCTCAGTTTACACTCATTTTTCCCTTTTAATTTCCCGAACTTGCTGTGTCCTTTTATTCTAGGATGTAGTCTCATAGACTACTAAGAATTCCTCTTACCAAAGGAATTGGGAAAGCTCCAGATCAAACTAAGGGCTTTTTAAGTTAATGGATTTTAAAATAGCCCTTAACATGCACAGTCATTTGGCAAGTACATACTGCACATCTTCTCTGAGTTAGAACCCCAGGAGAGAGTACCACATAAAATGAGCCTCTTACAGATAAGGAGGAGGACAAGCATGAAACAAACTACAAAGAGATTATTATACATTGTGATGAGTACCACGAAGTTTAAAAAGGCCAGAGTGCCCAGTGATGGGAGTGCTCTGGTCCGGAGTCACAGGGAGCCTCTTTAAGGAAAGGAATCTCAGCCACAACCCGAAAGGATTAGTAGGAATCCCCAGACCTGGCTGGGGTAGCAATGACACCACAGAGGAATGGCCTGTGCTTAAGCCCTTGGGGGTTCAGTTTTAGGTGGGTCTGAGATCAGTGGAAAGGGCAGTTGATAAGGCTAGAGACACAGGCAAGGACCGATTAAGCAGAGCCAGGTAGGCGAGGGTGAGGGGTCACTGCTTTATCCTAAGAGCAAGGGCACCACCCAAGGGCTGTAAGCTGGGGGACATGACTCACCTTGACCTACATTCTGAAACAAACAATGTGGCTCCTTCCTGAGGAAGGTATGAGAGGGGAGCAACATGACCAGCAAAGAGCCTACAGTCATAGTCTGAGTGGGATCTGAGGGAGGGGGTGGGTGAACCAGTGCCCTGGAGAGAAGTGGGTGGCATCTAAAGGTCTTGCTGATGCCTGTACGTGAAGAAGGGGCATGGTGGGGGTGAGGATGAGGGCAAAAGAAATGTTGAAAATAACTTTAGTGAGATCTGAGCAACTGGGTGCATGAAGGTGATATTTTCCAGGACTGAGAAGAGATGTGTGGGGATTGTTTGAGAGTTCATCAGGCTAAATATTGGTCAGATATTAAAAACCCTTACAAGTAATGGACAAAATGTGGATGTACACTGAGTGGCCAGATTATTATAATCTTGGAACACATAATAATCTGGCCACTCAGAATATATATATTAGAGGCCCAGTGTATGAATTCATGCATGGGTGGGATCTGGCCAGTCTGGCCAGGGGAAGGGGACATGGGAAGTTGGCCAGCCTGCCTGCTGGTAGAATTCTTAGTGGAGGGGACAATTTGTATATTAGCCTTTTTTTTTTTAAAGGATTATTTGCATTCTTTTTTTAAAAAATATATTTTATTGATTTTTGTACAGAGAGGAAGGGAGAGAGATAGAGAGTTAGAAACATCGATGAGAGTCATCGATCAGCTGCCTCTTGCACACCCCCTACTGGTGATGTACCCACAACCAAGGTACATGCCTTTGACCGGAATCGAACCCGGGACCCTTCAGTCCCCAAGCCGACGCTCTATCCATTGAGCCAAACCGGTCCCGGCTGCATATTAGCCTTTTATTATATAGGATATACACTGAGTGGCCAGATTATTATGCGTTCAGAGATCATAATAATCTGGCCACTCAGTGGGTAAGTTCCTGTTCCCCTGAACCCTTGACAACACTGGGTAGAACAGTGCCTGGTTTTCAGCACATATTTGTATAAAGAATGAATAAGTAAATCTATGGATTTTATTTCTTGATTCAGTTCAGCAAATAATACAGGAAATGCCAAGTAATTTGAGCTTCAGAAAGAAAGGAAGTGGATTGACTTATTGAAAAGGATCAGGGTTCTCTTTCAACGTGTGTGTGGGTTTCTCAAACACACAGTTCTCTGAGACATCAGCTGGGTAGCCCATAATTTAATTCAATTCTGACACTGTCTACCTGGAGATGGTGTCAGATCCCACAGGCTAAGGGTTCAGTCCCTTGAAATTGCTCCCACCCAAGTTCAGATGTTGTTTCCAAGTAACAGGTTACTCACAACTTCCATGAAATTTGGCTACAAATTGTAGATCCCCATGACCCCTTCTTGGTTGGGTTAATTTGCTAGAGCAGTTCCCAGATTTCAGAGAAACATGTTTACCAGGTAATTACAGAACATGATGGTGGACACAGGCATACATACAGGTAAAGAGCTGCAGAGGGTGAGGTCTGGGAGCGGCCTGAGTTCAGGACCTTTTGTCCCCGTGGGGTTAGGGTGTGTCATCTCCCAGGGTGGAAGTGTTTACCCACATGGAAGCTCTTTGAAGCCCCTACTAATGGGATTTTTTAAATGGAACTTCCTCTTGCAGCCACCATCAGTTCACTCCATTTCCTGCCTTCTTTGTTGAAGTGGGGGTGAGGCTGAAAATTCTAATCATGGCTTGGTCTCTGCCTCATCCAGGAGCCATCCAGAGGCCCACCTTAGTCACCTCATTAGAACAAAAGTCAGTCCTATCACCCAGGAAACTATAAGGGTTTTAGGAGCTCTGTGCCGGGAAGGGGTGGGGGCAGGAACCAAGCATGTACTTCTTACTATAAATCATAATATCACATTGTATTCAATTTCCTGGTTTGCTAACCACAGGGCAGCACCTTCCTTCCAGGGGACAGAGCAGCCTGGGTAAGCAGAACAGAGATATGGGTGCATTCTCATACTTGGAAGGATGGTCAGGTTTTAAGGTGCTCTGTTGGCTTTCTGACCTACTCTCCCTGACGTCTGTGTCTCCTCAGATGCTTGTGACATCGCGTTTGACCCTGACACGGCACACAGGTATCTCCGGCTGCAGGAGGACAACCGCAAAGTCACCAACACGACACCCTGGGAGCATCCCTACCCAGACCTCCCCAGCAGGTTCCTGCACTGGCGGCAGGTGCTGTCCCAGCAGAGCCTGTACCTGCACAGGTACTATTTTGAGGTAGAGATCTCTGGGGCAGGAACCTACATTGGCCTGACCTGCAAAGGCATCGACCGGAAAGGGGAGGAGCGCAACAGCTGTATATCAGGAAACAACTTCTCCTGGAGCCTGCACTGGAATGGGAAGGAGTTCTCGGCCTGGCACAGCGACACGGAGACCCCGCTCAAAGCCAGCCCTTTCCGGAGGCTGGGCATCTACGTCAACTTCCCGGGAGGGATGCTCTCCTTCTACGGCGTGGCTCCCGACGCCATGACTCTGGTTCACAGGTTTGACTGCAATTTCTCGGAGCCAGTTTATCCAGCCTTCTGGCTCTCCAAGAAGGAAGACACCATCCGCATTGTGGATCTGGGAGAGGAGCCTGAGAAGCCTGCACCGGCCGCCGTGGAGGCTGCTGCTTAGACTCTGGATCCACATTCTGGACATTTGCTAAGGGCAGGGCAGTGTCTTGCCCTCTGGAGGCAGAAATCTCTGCCAGGGGTAGTTGGCTTTAGAAATATGTGGGTCTGTGAATGAGGACAAGAGTTGCTGGCTTCTCCCTTTTGCTCTATGCTGTGCTGTTCTTCAAGTTTGTAGTCATGTTCAGGTGAAAGTCCCTTTGGAGTGATACTTGGGTCTCCCATCTTTGAGTGACATTCTCCTGTCAGGTGAATGGCACATTGTACCTGGGACTGGTAACCAGGAATCTTCAGGGAGATTAAAAAAAAAAATCACAGAGTAATAAGAATAAATTATTAACTTTATCACGTATTTCCTAGGTCCCAGACACTGTTTTGAGTGTTACCTGTACATCAACTCTGTGACCCTCATACAATCCTATGGGTGGAAGCTCATATCAGCCGTAATCTGCAGATGTGGAAAATATGGTCCAGGGTGGATAGTTCACTTGCTCAAGGTCACTGAGGTCACATGCTGAGTAAGTGACAGAGCTGGGGTCCAGACTTGAAGGGATGACACTAAACTTTCAACAACTATACCGTGCTGACTTCCTCACTGGATTGGGGGTGTTGTGTAATAAGGGAGTAAACTACATGATGACCTGTTTCCATGGCAACAGAGCATCCTAAACCCTCCTCTCAGAGTTTGCAAATCTCTTTGCAGCCCCCACCTCTGATGGGATTGTAGCTGTGCTGCAACAGATGGCTCACTCATGCGTTTTTGGAACAGCAAGGATGATAAGAAGTGTGTTAGTCTCAGACCCCATGACTTCTAGGCAAGGGGCTCATTCCTCTCCTTTTGAAGTCACCTGGAGTGTGTGGACTTGTGATTTCTCTTTCAAATGACAGTTCTTCAAGTATTTAAGGGTGGCGCTCACAACATATCCTCCCCAGAAGCTCTTCACACTGTATTCCCCACTTTCCTTCTTTTCACACTTCATTTTCCTGTTTTCCTTCATGGTTTCCAAGTCTTTCACTCCCTTAGCATTTCATCCTCCTTTCCACAGATGTGGAAATCCATAAGATTTATGGCAAACATTCACATTTTTTTATTTATGTAAATGACAAACTATTTTTAAATGAGTTTCTGAGATATAACCGGAAGTCCGTAGGAAATATAACTTCTGGTTCTTTGTCAAAGCAAACCTGTTCACCTGGCTGCTGATCCCCTGGAAAAGAGGTAGGTGAGTTTTTAAAATATAATAAAAATTTAATAAAAACTTTTACAGAGAGAAAGGGAGAGGGATAGAGTGTTAGAAACATTGATGAGAGGGAAACATTGATCAAATTCCTCCTGCACACCCCTACAGGGGATGTGCCTACAACCAAGGTACATGCCCTTGACTAGAATCAAATTCTGGGACCCTTCAGTCTGTAGGCTGATGCTCTATCCACTGAGCCAAAGTGGTCAGGGCTCTTTAGTGAATTCTTAAAAATCTGAATTCTATTGAATTATTTTTTTTACTTGAATTTTAAAGTTCATCACATTATTGTTGCTTGCTGAGATGGTTTTGATTAATTATTTCCAATATATTAGCTCTCCTTCCTAATCTAGAGTCACCTAAACAATTGTTAACCTTTTCTTCTTAAGTCTTGATCTTGTTGATACCTACATTGTTTAGGGTAGGGCAAAATACAGAATCCTGCAGTATGCAGTCGACACTCTTTGGGCTCAATTATTCAATAATTTATGCATCGGTAGAACTTTTGCCACTTTGTCCACTGAACCCAAAGAAGACCCCTTTTCAATGGCAGAGAACAAGATAAGCATTCCTTGCTGCATTCCTATGTCTGCAGTCCTTGCTGCTCTTGTCTATCCTCTCAAAAGAGAAAATGAGATCTGCTTGGCCTGCTTTGTTTTTATTGAGCCCCTGTGGTCTGGTGGTGCTTGTCACTTTCTTTTCTAAATGCTCACCAAATATTTAATAAACCATTTAAGAATTCTGCCGTTGACTAACATCGTTTACTTGTCTGTTGTTTCCAGAATATACCTTATTTTTCTTTTAAAATATCAAAATTTTTCTGTTCCCACCTTCTACCATTCTCCTTAATTTCTCAAACAATAAAGCCTAGTGTTTAGTCACATTGACGAGGTGTGTCTGTCATGAGATGTAATCCGTTCAGACCAGAACACTTGGCTCAGATGAAAGGAACCCTTTGGGTGTCTCCTCACCTGTTGTGAACTTTGTTCCCTGTCAGCTCTTTTCACCTGTTCTCAGTTTAGAGACTTTTCTTATTGATATAAAAGATCAAAGCAAAATTGAGAGTTGGGAATATTTGCTTTCTTTCTGTCATTGCTTCAACTGAGGTTTTTTTTCTTTTCTTTTTCTTGGCCCCCCAACTGGAAATTACCCAAAACACACAACTTTAAAAAAAGAAAATAAAATAAAGGCCTATTTTATATTCTCTGTCTTTTCCCCAACTCTGTGTGTCATTCTTCTGTATTTACCCACCTTTATTTCCTCTCATTATGTGGACTCATTCTGGAAAGGAAAACAAACAAAAACTGAACTCATCAAGAGCTCCTTTTGGTGCCAGATTATTTGGTTCCATTATTAGATCATTTGTGATTGGAAAGTCAGAATGTGATTTTAGCCACTACATAAATATATTCTATGTCAACTTTTTAAATATATATATATATATATTAATTATATTGTAGTTGCCATACAATATTATATTAGTTTTAGGTGCACAACCCAGTGATTAGACATTATATAACTTACAAAATGAGCATCCTAATAAATCTAGTTTCCATTGACAAAATACATAATTATTATAATATTATTGACTATACTATTGGCTGGGTTCATGGGGGCTGGGGGTGTCCCTCAGCCCCGCCTGTACCATCTCCAATCTGGGACCACTCAGAGGATGTCTGACTGCTGGTTTAGGCCCAATCCCACAGGGACAACCCTCTCACAATCCAGGACTGCTGGCTCCTAATTGCTCGCCTGCTTGCCTGCCTGCCTGCCTGATTGACACCTAACTGCTCCCCTGCCAGCCTGATGGCCCTCAACTGCCCTTTCCTGCTGGCCTGATCACCCACAACTGCCCTCCACTGCCGGCCTGATTGCCCCCAACATATTTTACTATCCCATTTTTCAGTCTGTCTCTTGTACACAGCATATTTAAGGATTTTGTTTTGTTATCTATTCAGCTACCATATGTCTTTCGATTGGAGCATTTAATATTTTGCATTTAAAGTAATTGTTGATAGGTATGTATTGCCATTTTATTATTCACATATTTTTAATATTTTTTTCTCCTTAAATTCCTTTAACATCCTATATAATAAAGAGATAATATGCAAATGGTTGTCACACCCTCATGCTGTCACACGGTCACACCATAATGGCTTAGATACTCAACGCTGAGGAAAGAGGAATGGGGACCAGCCAGGCACAAATGAGTTCTTGAGAGAGGAATGGGAATCAACTAGGCTGTGGCCCAGGAGAGGAACAAACTGCCATCCCTGAGATCCTGGGGGCTTGCAGCTGCAGCCCAGGTGAAGCCTCCCCCCACATTTCCCTGTGGCTATGGCCAGCCCAGGCAAAGCCAACCCAGGTCCTGGATGCCTGTGGCAGGCCAGAGGGAGGGAATCCTGGGTCCAGGTGCCTGTGACAGGCCAGAGGAGGGAATCCTGGGTCCCAGGTGTGAGGGGAGGCAGAGCAGTTAAGAGCAATAAAGCCAGCAAGGGAGAAATTAGGGAAGATCAGGCCAATAGGGGAGCAGTTAGGGGTAATCAGGCAGGCAGGCAGAGGTGGTTAGGGGAGATCAGGCAGTCAGGGAAGTGGTTAGAAGCCAGTGGTCTGGATTTCCAGAGGCAGTTGGACATCCCCTGAGGGGTCCCAGATTGGAGAGGGTGCAGGCTGGGCTGAGGGACCTTCCCCACCCTTCCCATTCACAAATTTTATGTTCTGGGCCTCTAGTTTCTTATAATACTAATTTGTGGTGATGAAATCTTTTAACTTTTTCTTGTCTGGGAAGCTTTTTATCTGTCTTTTAATTATAAATAATAGCATTTTTAGATAGAGTAATCTTGATGGAAGTCTGTACTTTTCATCACTTTGAATATTATGTGGCAATCCTTTCTGGCCTGAAATGTTTCTGTTGAGAAATCAGCTGATAGTTTTATGGGAGCTTCCTTGTAGGTAACTACCTTTCTTTCTCTTGCTGTTTTTAAGATTTTTTTCTTTGACAAAATACCTTTTGTATTTTAATTACGATATATCTTGGCCTCCTTGGGTTCATCTCGTTTGAGACTCTTTGTGCTTCCTGGACTTGAAGTTTATTTTCTTTACCAGGTTAGGGAAGTTTTCCACCATTTTTTTAAAGTAGGTTTTTAATTTCTTCTTCTCTCTCCTTCTGGCAGCTCAATGATGCAAATGTTGGTACACCTGAAGTTGTCTCAGAAGCTCTGTAAATATCTTCACTTTTTGGATTCTTTTTTCTTTTTATTGTTCTGATTGGGTGTTTTTTGCTTCCTTATCTTATAAATCACTGATTTGATTATGTGTTTCATCTACTCTAGTGTTGATTCTCTGTAATGTATTCATTTCAGTTATTGTAGTCTTCATTTCTGACTGGTTCTTCTTTATGTTTTCTATATGAAACTTTATTTTTTCTATCTCTTTATTGATATTCTTCTACTCTTTCCTTAAGTTCATTGAGCATTGTCATAACCAGTGTTTGGAACTATACAAAAGGTAGACTGACCTATTTTGTTTAGTTCTTTTTCTGGATATTTTTCCCATTGGTTTTTATTTATTTTTATTGTTTGATTAATCCTCACCTGCCAGACTTAATAGAATGGCTTTATGTAGTAGGTGTTCTGTAGATTCCATTGGCATAGCCCCCTCAGTCACCTGAGCTGGGTGCTCCAGGTGTGCCCTCCATGTGGGCTAAGTGCACCATCCTGTTGTAGTTGAGTGTTGGTTGCTGCTGGCACATTAATGGGAGGTATTTACCTTCAAGCAAATTGGTTGTGAGGACTGGCTATAACCACCATGAAGGATCTACTCTGCAGGTTCATGACACTTCAGAAGGCTCTAATATCCACTAAGTCCTTCCCTGGAATGTGTTGCTAGTGGAGGTGGATGGTTGGTGTTTATGTGTGGTCTGAGCTATTCACTGGGTTCACTGGCTCTGGGGCCCCATGGGAGGTGTAGGCCAAGGTCAGCTGACACCTGTGTCTTGCCTGGAGCTACCGAGCATAAGCTACAAAACAATCTTGGTCTCTCCTGGGCACCTCTAACCTCAGCACAAGTAGATGGCTGCTACTTGTGCTGATGTTAGAGGTGCCCGAAGAGACCAAGCTGTGAACCAAGGCTGGTTGCTTCTAGTGCCAGGCGTGGGGCCCCTTAGCAAGTGGTTTGGGGCATTTTAAGGCCAAATGGTGCTTGTTTTAGAGATTTTAGTGAAATCCACGATATGAGCTAAGACAGGTGGTTTGCATGGAAAGGCACTGGGTGGTCCTGAAACTTGAATGGGGTAGGTCTCAGGGAATCACCAGATTGGGGGGAACAGTGTTTGCCAGGTTGATGGAGACTCAGATATGGTGCCCACCTGCCATATCTCAGCAAAGGAACAATGACCTTTGCTAATACTTTTGTTTGGGAGAAAGCTGCCTTTTCAGCCCTTGCCCTGATGCCAGACAATTCAGTTCCTCCCCATATGTCCCTAGCCCCCTTTGAACTGCTGCCCCAGTGCTGGATCTCAGAGTGAGTGAGTCTGAGTAAATTTGTGCACAGGCCCTTTAAGAGAAACATCTGGAACTACATAAGTCCTCCATGTCACTCAGCCACAATCCCCGTGGTTTATAGCCAGAAATTTATGAGGACTATTCTACTTGGCACTGGAATCCTGGGCTTGGGGGCCTGGTGTGGGGCTGGAATGCCTTGCTCCTCAAGGGGGATTGTGCAACTGAAATATCCATCTGGAATTTTAGCAGTCACATGTGGTTGTGGGACCCCCTGTCCACATCTCTGTCCCACTCCTACCAATCTCCACATATCCTCAGTTATAAGACTCTGTTCAGCTATATTTCAGGTGATTCTCAATGATGGTTGTTCTGTAGTTTAGTTGTAATTTTGATGTGGTTGCAAGAGAATATTAGTATTGCACTTACATGCTAAACCAACTTGATTGGACTTTTGAAATACAAAGGCATATGTCATTTTCTTCTAG